GATAATGTAGCAAGCCATAGTGCACACATTTTGGCAACTAAAACTCATTTCTGAATCAGCAGGGACCAAAGAGAGTTTCTCAGATCAGGGAAACCCAAGCTGGGATTCCCTTTGATCTAGTTTAGTTTAGGCCCTGTGTAATATGAATATATCAGAATTAGAAAATAGACTAAAATGTACTAAAGCAAAGTATAAATTTTTTAAGTGCTGCTCCTATTATATGCTATTTACATGTGAACAATTTCAACAATGCTTCTTTTCAATATGGATACCAAACACTGGCTAATAAACCAATTTCCTACAAGTGCTCCCTTAAATACTTTGAAAACATACAGTAACAAGATGTGCCTTGGAGTTATTACATAAACTTAAAATTAAGAATGAATTTTACCAGAGATTTTCTGTTTCAAAACTCTAAATGAAGTCTACGTGGCTATTATGCTGTAATATAAACCTGGGCCACGAGGAAGGGAAGTTCTCATCTCATTTACATTACTGTAAAGTAAGAGTAACTCAATTAAAGTCAATAGCTTTGAACTTTCTTAAACAAGACAAGACCTATAAGGGATTACAAGGTTGTTTTAAGCATGCTCAGTTAGAAAAAAAAAAGTCTTATCAGGTTTTATTTACATTGCCTGCAGGAATCCAAGTGGTACTGCCTCACTTTGCTGCTACTAGATTGTTTTGGGGTGTAATTTAGCACAGCTCTATGTAGTATTTTAAAAGCAGATCTCTAATTTCTCCTCATGCTCTGCCCTCACTCCCTCCCCACCACCCCTGCAAAAAATAAAAAAGCTAATATTAATTGCAAAGCCACAGACAGCTTTACATTATAAATAAGTAAAGTCTTGAAGACAGCAAACACAGGAAGTTCTCACTCACATATCCAGATCCAGACTGAAGGCAGCAGGGTAATCTAATCTGATTTCCTGTATATCATACTCATAGAACGTGAATCAAATTATTCTTAGGACCATAACTCGGGTTTGACTAAAGCAAGTCTTTCTGAAACACAACAGGCCTAAGATGAAAGCCTTAGAGAGAGGGAATCAGTCACCTCCCTCATGACTTCATTCTGCCTTAGATTTGCCCTCACTTTAAAGAAATTTTGATCACAGGTTTGTTTATATTCAGTTAACCATGTTCTTCCCTGATAGATTAAAGAGCCTGCAGAGTCTTTGTCCCTGTGGAGATACTCAGATTATACAAAATCTTTCAACCTTTTTTTTTTTTTGTTTCTCTTAATACCCTAAGGAAGGCTGAGCTCCTTAAGACTCACTGTTAAGCTTTTTCAGTCCTTGACACTTTGGAAAGGCTGTTCTCTGCGTTTGGTCCTATATTTTAACACTGATGCATAAAGATGCATATTGTATGTTTGTATCATCTTTCTGCTGCCACGTAGAAACAGGAATACTCCCCCACCTACCCTAAAACTCGTACATGCGGCTTCTCTGATTGAAATACATAGGACAATATAAGGGCCCAGTTGACATGGGGGTACAGCTTGCTGTATGCCTGGTCTGTCCCCTGTATCAAGCATAAGCTTTGCTGCTGATATGTTAAAAATTTACCTTGGATAATTGGATGCACTTGTTCAAAACATAAAAAAGGCCCAGGAGAATAAAAAGCTGAGCTCTATAAAGGAGCAGAAAGAGGGAAGCTGCAGAGGGAACCAGTGCATGTTTAAATACAGAACCTGTTCTGCCATCATTATGGCGAAAATAGAGAAGAGAATGCAAAAGTGAAGCTTGCCTCACAAATAAGGAAAATTACATTAAGACATTAAACCTGACATGACTGATATTAAGAAAAATAAAATAGTCACATCTTTAGCTTTTCTTTTCAACAAGAACTGGTCAGTAAACATGGGCCAGGGAGATACAGGATAAGCATTGTCATAAATACAGTATTTGGTTAGTTGTTATGGCTGGAAATTAATTAAACATACGATTAACACAATAGGTAAAATATCCCTTCAGCTTGGAAAAGAGCTTTCATTTCCAGTGCCAAAGTCAAGTTAGGTCACCTAGACAATTTCAGATATACATAGAATCATAGAATTGTTAAGGTTGGAAAAGACCCCCAAGATAATCAAGTCCAACCATCAACCTAGCATCACCACCATGTTCACCACTAAACCACGTCTTTGAGTTCCATATCCACATGATTTTTGAACACTTCCGGGGATGGTGACTTCACCACTTCCTTGGGCAGCCTGTTCCAATGCTTTGCAACCATTTCTGTAAAAAAGTTTTTCCTAATATCTAATCTAAACCTCCCCTGACACAACTTGAGGCCATTTCCTCTCATCCTGTCACTTGTTACTTGGGAGGAGAGACCAACCCACACCTCCCAACAACCTCCTGTAGGTAGTTACAGGGAGAGATAAGGTCTCCCCTCAGCCTCCTTTTTTCCAGGCTAAACATCGCCAGCTCCCTCAGCTGCCTCTCTTATGACTTACTCTCCAGACCCTTCACCAGCTTCATTACCTTTCTCTGGACACACTCCAGAACCTCAATGGCTTTCTTATAGAGAGGGGCCCAAAACTGAACACAGTACTTGAGGTGCAGCCTCACCAGTGCCAAGTACAGGAAGACAATCACTTTCCTGGTCCTGCTGGCCACAGTATTGCTGACACAAGCCAGGATGCCATTGGCCTTCTTGGCCACCTGGGCACACTGCTGGCTCATGTTCAGCTAGCTGTCGACCAGTACCCACAGGTCCTTTTCCTCTGGGTGGCTTTCTAGCCACTTTCCCAAGCCTGTAGCACTGCATGGGGTTGTCATGACCAAACTACGGGATGTGGCACTTCACCTTACTGCACCTCATGCAACTGGCATCAGCCCATTGATCCAGCCTGTCCAGATACCTCCGCAGAGCCTTCCTACCCTCCAGCAGATCAACACTGCCACTCAGCATGGTGTTATCTGTGGACGTGCTGAGGGAGGACTCGATCCCCTTATCCAGGTTGTTGATGAAGATATTAAATAGGGTTTAATTTTTTAATTAATTTTTATCCAATACTGAGCCCTGAGGAACACCACTTGTCACTGGCCACCAGCCACTCTCTGGGCCTGGCCATCCAGCCAGTTTTTACCCAGCAAAGAGTACACCAGAAGCCAATTCCTGAAGTGAGGACTCAGGATATTCCTTCCCTTGGGACCCTTGGAAAGCAGGACTCACTGCAGAAAGGCAGCTTCCCAACTCCACAAAGCCATGTGAAATTAAATATGTATCGATTAAATTTTTATACAAGTACAAAAAAAATCCTTGAAATTACCTTTAAAAAAGAAATGGTCCCATCATGGCATGTTGGGTTGGAAAAGCTTGACATGTGTACATGCTTAGCTTAGCTGATTCACATGGAAAGTTACATCAGAGCAGTTATCTGAATTTAATCATGGTGGTGGGCATGCAGAGTATTTGGGTGGTGGCAGTCTTTCACCTTACCAAGGATAACCTGCTCAAAGATTTAATTTTCCCTCACAACTGGGCTGCTGACATTGGAGTGGAAAATAAATCGATGTGACAACTATGTGAAGACCTGAGCAGCGAAAAATTCCACCAGAAAGGCCTCTATTGAAAGCTGAGAATTACACAAAGCTTAAGGAACATTAGGAATCAAGCCTGCTAGTTTATAGAAGTGCAGGAGGGGCATACATCTCTGGTCTCTACAACATTGGTTTATATTAAGCTTTATTTTAAGAGTAATGATTTACATTAGCTGTGTTTCAGTCCCAGTGCCAAAGATGCCAAATAAATATCATATACTCTCCAGGGCTTTCCACCACCCTTCCCCACTGCATTTTAACCATGCAAATTAGACAGAATTGACATTGGAATGCTTAAGTCTGGGAGAGAACGATGGATTTCCCATCCTTGGGGCATTTTTCATCCTGTTTATATGAATACAGACATGCCGGGCATATACTGCTCATTAGACGGGTTACAGAATATTCAGCATGCAGGCACTCAGTCACTGGCCTGATTTGTAAGGTCTGAAGGCAAAGTTAGACCCATATGAGTTCACAAGCAGTTCTTAATGAAGCCAAGGGACAAAGAGGTGCCACCCAGGACCTTGAATAGTTCAAGATGGCACTGATTCCTTTTCCATTATGAAAGAGGAAAGCAGGGGATCAACATTACTCTCAACATGTTGGAGCAATACCCACAGAAGTAACATATATACAGAGGTACCTCCATCTCTAGACTGCTATGAACATAAGCACATTAGTCATTGTGGCATCCCTGAATGCTACACTGACTCCTTTTATAGTCAGGCGAATCCAGAACCATAGAAGCCTTGCCTAGCCAATGTAGCACTTCTTAAATCCATCACAGTTCATTCTCAGTGGCCTGTCCCAATACAGGACTGAACCTGCTGAGCTGAGGGGACCTGCTGTTATCAAGCAGGAGGGGGAGACACAGCCTCAGCTTTCCATCAGTTTCCCAAAAACAGAGTTGTATCCATCTCTTTCAACAGGCCTGACCTGTTGCTCCTTCCAAAAGGGGTGGACAGGCAGCTGGTCAGAGGGGAGGGCCATAAAAACCAGCTCCTCTCCTCATCGGTGGCTGGTTGCAGCCTCACAGCAAAACCACAGCACTGGTACTGCCAAGAATTCAGTTCACATTCTTCAATCCCTGTGGTAACCACTAGGCCACACGGTCTCCATTTGCATTTTATTAGGTCTTTTCATGCACCAAGGGACAAAAGAACAAGCCACTTCCTCCCACTGAGCTCTCATTTCACACTTCAAATGGTCTCTACTAACCTTTATGGGTGAAGCAGCTGCCAGGGAGGAGGGGCGGGAAAAGGCAGGCAGTGCTAAGATGACCGGACAAAGCAGTCTCTGAAGATGCAGCCTCAGATCCTCTCTCAGCAACCCAGAGGAACCCAAATCAGTCAGAGCAACACCTTACCCTCTTGCCCCCACCTCAGGGACACCCAGACCTCTGCAACCACCTGAGTGGCGTTCAGCCAGAGTGCTTTCTGGACTCACCTCCCACCCCCAGTAGGTGCTGCTGAGTTAATAGCCTGTACCATGTCTGTAGTCAGAGCATCAAGTAAGCTGGTAATAAATTCAACTTTCTTCCCTTCTGGGCAGCCTGCAAAAAGAAAAGAGGAGGTTTAATGCAAGAACACACAGGCTTGGTCTCCTACCCCAATTCAGCAAGGATCAGCCAGAACCTCCTTTGTTTTTAAGACAGCAGCCATCAACACAGTCCCTAAGGAAAGGCAGAAGAATCCCTCAGTGGGATTCTCTGCGTGGCAATTTGTTCTGCAGCTTTTGTCCAGGCACATGCAGGGTCATCAACAATATCTGGCAGGAAGACTGTGTGGTTAGCTTTATGGTCTCATCCAGTTCTCTACCAGCAAAACTGCAGGGATGTGCTGGAAGCACCTGACAGACAGGAGTTCCCATGGTGACACTTGCAGAGAAGTTTACAAAACAACTCATTACCTCCTGGGTCATCTTGCAATGCAAACATGGTTGTTCTGAGGTCCTAACTGACATGTTAAAAGTATGATAAGAGTACTTTAAACATACATGCTTAAAGTATCACAGAGCACAAAGCAAGGTCTGCCACTTGCACTCTCCTCTTCAGGCACAGAGAGCACTGCCTACCAGCACCTACCACAAAAATTCAGTTCTTCGCATGATCACACTCATAGGAAATATGTTAATCTGAGTCAATATGTGGTAGTCACCCCCAGTCACTGCTGGCTTAAGCAGGATAAAGCAGGTTGAAGATGAGCTTGGTAACCATTTCCATTACTTAGTGCTGAGGCCACCTAGTTCCCCACCATCATAACCACAGACTGACAGAGCCTCCTATCCTAAACAGTGCCAGTCTGTTAGGATGAAACTCTCCATCTCCTTACCTTTAAAAGGCAATCTGTGCTGTTTCCTTGCATTCTTAAAGCACGCTTCACTTATTACCACATAAATACTGTAACAATTGCTCTAGCCTACCACAGAACAAGCATGCTTAACTTCAACCCACCACCTTCGAAACTATTGTCCAAACCCCATCACCCTCCCAATCCTATTGTCTTCTCTTGATGTGATAGAGAAGCCATCACTACATCCCTCACCTCTTTCCCCAAACCACCATGCACTACACCAATTACTCAGCTCATCAGAAAACAGCCTCCCACAGCAACATATAGCAGTGTCAACACTTTCTGCTTTTCTTGAACAAGAGAGAAGCACATGTACCCCAAAGAGAGCACCAGAAACTTACTGTCATCCCTTGACAGCTGAAAGCAGCTGGCAAACTGATCTGACAAAACTCTCTCCTTTGCAGTGATACAGGTTCTGTTCTCTGCAATAGCTAACCACCAGTTCTTTGCCTGTCTCTGTATTACATACATTACACACATGCACACCCCTCAGCACTTGTTTGGCACATGGTCCACAAAATGTCAGCACTGAACGGGTAAGCTGCTATTGCAGCCAGAGTAGACCACTCACTTAAAGGAGCTTTTTGTTGAAGTAATGAAAAAGATGAAAAACTACTTGCTAGAAGTCATCTCCCTGGGGTCACAGCATCTCACAGTCTGCAGGAATTAGCAGCTTGCCATTTGCTATGTACAAGCAACACTTTCCTTCCTTCTTTCTTTTTTTCTTCTGGTCACAGTCATGACAGTTTCTGAAGAGGGTATGTGTACATGTGCAAGGATCTGAACTTATGTCTCCTTCACCTTGGCCTCTGCAGGGTCTCTCCACACAGGCCAAGGAGCACACTGCCTGCAGCACTGAGAGTCTTAAGAAGTTAAACCTCCAGAAGAGGAATAAAGTAAGGGGTCCCCTGACAGAACTGAGTGCAAATGGAACAATCAATCTCAAATTAAAGCAGGGGTTTTTCTTAAAATTCAGTTCTGCTAAGAAATAAGAGCAGAAAAAACCAAAAAGAAACATTTTCACCCCATGCACTTCTGAATTTTTGCATACAAGAGCAGTTAATCAAACAAACCTCAAGACTGCATAAAAAAGATCATGCAGCACAGCATCTCTCAGGCAGACAAATCAGCATTAGATCCTCCATCTCCTCATCTCTCCATAGACGGGTATTTTCAGTGACAGGAATCACCACAGAATCACAGCATGTGGTTAGGGTTGCAAGGGACCTCAAAGATCATCTAGTTCCAACCCCCTTGCCATGGACAGGGATGCCATTTACCAGATCAGGGTCCCATCCAATCTGGCCTTGAACACTTCCAGGGCTGGAACGTCTAAAACTTCTCTGGGCAACAATCATGCCAACCAATGCAGCCAAATGCAGAACCTAAAGTTTACACAGGCATGGAAAAGTGGCTTGAACTGAGAGGGCAACTCTCCTGCAGTCTGATACTGGGACCAGACCACTTAGCTACAGAGCATCCTGTGTCTTCTGCATCTAGCAGTTCCTATCCCCTTGTCTGGCTTCAGTGGAGAAGGGAAAGGAGAAGGGGAATTAAACCATTCTGTCCGAGATCAGCAATAGAGTCTCAAAGAAAAAGCCCATAAGCAAAGGATTTTCACAGAGGAGCTCTGGAGAGGCAGGGGTGAAGTGCAAGGATAGGCAGTAAAGCAATGGGAGAAGGGGATGGGGAAATCAAGGAAGTAAGGTTATTCTATTTTAGTGTGATTTCCTAAGGAAATGAGCCTTAATGCAATCATTTAGCTGGTTTCCCTCCACCTATCATCCAACTTGAACCAATTGGTCAATTTCCTTTGAATGTGAGAAAAAGGCAGATAGAAATTTCTACGTGACTTGTGAAAATGAGGAGCTGCACAGGAGAAAGCCCTGCTGAGGGCAGAGTTGCTAAGCAGAAAGCTCTGGGGTCTGAGGTCAGGAGCCAGCAGGAAGAGAATTAGAAGACACAGAAGGCAGATCTGGTACAAATCTCATTTCCTTTGCGAACATGCTCAAGAACAACTCATTTTATGCTAGCCATAAAGAGGGCCAGCAGAAAGTAAACCAGATCCAGAGCTAACAGCTCTTTCTGCAGTTATTGGTCTCTACCACTCCCTCATGGTGGAGAGGGACCCACTGTAGCTTCTGTTTTCAAGCAGTCCCCACTCAGGAAAGCAATGGTTGACACAATGTCAGTGAAGACCCCCTCACTCTGCTCCTTAGAAAGGCAGTAGGAAGGAAAAACAAGAACACAGGCAGGTGGGATAGCATTTTTAAGAGCCACACAGACAGCTATGCCCAGCAAATGTTCCTAGCAGAAAAAAGGTGGGTAAACAGTAAATTATGGCTTGTCAAGGAAAAGCAGAATAGAAGACAAGCAGCATTGGGAAATAAAGTGCAACCCAGACAGAAAATGAGGGATAAAGTCCAGCTAAGCGAGAAGCCATCATTACCTAAGGGATTTTAGTATACCAGGAATGCTGTCCTGCCTGGTCCATGCACTGTCAGGGAGCAAAGTCAGTCGACTAAATATTGCCAATTGTGTCCTCTTTCATAACTCAAGGGGCACCAAGCTGCTGAAAAGCCCTACGGAATGGAAAGGGTCCTGTCCTGGTCAGAATTTGAAGAACATTCAATGCTGAGCCCATTCTCTCCCCAGGGTATTTTTTGGCATCCAGGTTTCTTTCCTGAAAATTCTGATTCCAGATATGTTTTCAAAGGGCAGACAGGCAATAAACAGGCCCCCCAGGACACTCACAGCCTTTTCCAGCTCACTGCTGAAACGAGATAATCCAAAATAACACAGAATAAACCCCACGGTAAAGCATGCACGGGGAAAATCCCCAATCTCCTCAACAATATTCTTGACCTCTTAAAGACTCCCAAGGTAAGACAAGGTAAGAAGGGAGAGACAGTATCTTGTTCCTCTGACCTGGAAGTTCTCTGTCCTTGAATGGATCATCAACCTCTGTGCTCTTCGATCTGGCATCACTTTCACACACTGGAGTCTCATAGCTGAAAAAGGAGAAGATCAGAAGCTGAACTGTGTGGCACAGCTTTAGTGACATCACATGATCACCAGTGGGTTGTGCCTTATCTGCTTACTCCAGGGGAAATCAATAAACCTGCAGAAGAAATACTATTCTTAAGCATCTGTTTATGGACAGTCAGCAACAGCAGCAGAAGTGGAAAGAGAAGGAAGAACATGTTTTGAAGTCCAGTACCAGCTACCAACTGAGACCCACAAAGAGGCACAAGGCCCTCTGCCATTCCTTGTGGGCATAGGCTGATAATTTTTTCAAAGCTGTCCATGCTCTGCAGAATCACTGTACCTATCAGAGTTTATGTTCCAGCTCCTACTGGCTGTTTTTACAGCTTGCCAGACCCACAGTTTGTTTCCAAACCCCAAGTGAGAAAAGAGTCCCCAGGTAGTTTTAAGATACAGAGTAACTGGGGAAAAAAAAAAATCTATCACTTGCTTAAAATCTACTAATGCACAACCAAGCAGTCTTCTAAATCCATACTGGTCAGGATTGAAGTGGCTACAGCATGGAATTATAAAGCAGATGATAATGCAAAGTCACTTCTCTTTTCACTGCTCGTGCCCATAACCTGTACTGAAGCAAAGCATCAGCTCCTGATACCACCCAAAAGCTTCAAGCCACAAAGAAAAAGGGCTGTTTTGCATGAGTACGTAACACAGAGAAAAGTAAGGACAGTAGTTTCTATCCACCAACTCCTATGGAGAGGGAGTTGCATAGTAACACTCAACAGGGAACATCACATATGGCATTGCTAACTCTAAGGAAGGTAGTGCAGAGCTGACTGCTCTAGAGTGAGAAACTGATTTGATATTGCACTAACATTTTTTTTTTATATCTTTTCTTTCCAGTACCTCACCAGGCCTGCCTATAGCTCTTACCGAGTGGAAGTACCAGGCAGAGGACGTCCTGTGTCCACCAGGACACACCAGCAGTACCCAGTAGACTGGTGGCATTGCACTGGTTTGTAGAGTCCTCCAGGAGCACACTCGGGGATGACAATACCCTCGCGGGGATTTTGCCTGGCCTCCTCCAGGGCGCTCTGCCTTTCCTGGTCGCAGGAGTGAACTTTCTCTGAAAGACAGAGGGGAGGTTGGAGGGAGTGGGAAAAAACCCAAATCGAGATCACTTTCCTATGCTCAGCAGGATATAGGTATCCTTCACATCAGGAGCCCTTTGTGGCTGTTTCCCTTTCATCAAACACCAGTATGTCCACATCCCCAGGAACTCAGAGCCTTCTACATTGAGAGCTTTCTCCTACATTTAGCTGTGACACAAGATTATGGATTATAGACATTGACTGCCAAGTGCCCAGCATGTCAGAAACAGCAGGAAACACTCTTCCTGATCACTTGGGTTCTGGAACTGAACTATCACATAACAATAATTCACAATTACTGCAGCCATGAGGTAAGCATTTCCCAGATTATGTTTTTGCAAACTGATGGATCCTAAATTATGACTTGTATTTTCCAGTTAAACAAAGGAGGCAAACACCCTGCCCTACCCCACACTCCCTACCCTACCCCCCACACTCTTCCCTCTCAACCTGCTGCTCTTGGGATCATGTTGGAGAGATGCTATTATGTTTTAACACCTCCTTATCCAGTGCAGAGAGCACCTGCACACACCTCAGCAGGGAACAGAATAGGAACAGTTCTACCCACACTGCCATCACCTCTCCACCCTGGAAAACAAAGGGCACCCAACACTGCTTCCTACCGAGGGGTAGGTAAGGCCCTGTCCCTTAATAACCTATTAAACAGAAAAGGATATTTCCAAAGACATCATCAAACACAGAACAGAGTACAGAGGTGGTTCTTTGGCAGGAACCCAAGAACAGAAGAAGCCCAGAAGCGGCTTCTGCAGCCAGCCTGGCACATAGGACCCTAAGGCCACCTCTTCAACCACCACCTGCAGAGAACTGATGGATGCATAGAGAGTGCCAGGCTGCTGCCTCTTACATAGACCAGCCATTTAAGGGGAAAAATAAGTACAGAATAAATGTGGAAGGCTAAGACCAATTTGGCTCAACAGCCAGAAGTTCTCAAGTCTTCAAGCATTCTGCCCTTTAATGAGTAGGAAAATTATTTCACTACTGAAGGTATCACAGTGAGAAAAAAGCAGTCAAGGTAGCTGATCACCTGATCCAATGGCTGTCTAAGTCTAGGGTAACAACAGACAACAATCTAACTTTTATCGTTAGGAGAGCGATGAAAAACAGAAGCAGGAACAGTTGTCCTCTTCTTCCCTACCCTTCCTCTCCCTTGCAGTTTACTGTGTTTTTTCTTTTCTTTTTACACATAAGGCACAAGACCCATAACTCCCTGCCACAGGCAAGAACTCCCTCAAGTTTTAAATACAGAAAATTCTTCAACATGGACCAGCAATGACACCACAGGTTCATCCCAAATCTTTAGATGTTTGCACCATCAGCCAGCAGACATGGCATGACCTCAGCATCCTACTCCCAGGTCTGGCTCAGCATACAACTAACACACACTCACTGTTTGTTTGTATTTTGCCTGCCTGTCTGTACACCATCAGTTGTGTCTTTTATTTTGGTGATAAACTATGGTGTAGAGAGTAATTATTGTTCCATATTTGGGGAGCAGAGGGGTGCCAATTCACAGCTAGAATTCCTCAGCTTGGTAGCAGTAGGTGCAACAAAAAACTCCAGCAGGTCTGCACAGCATCACCTGAGTACAGCGTGCTTGGGTACCAGAAGAACTTTTACTGGTTGAAATTGAACTGTAGCTGAACGAGTCTTGAAACCCAAAATGGCCTCAACTCTCCTCAGTGTTTCAGATCACTGTTGAGGCTGGGAATGTGAAGGGCACCTGAACTTTGCCACACACAAACCCAAAACTGTGTTATTCAAAACACAGAATAAAAACCTTAAAGTGTCGGCAAGTCTGACTCAAGTAGAGAAAAACTTGACCAGGAAGGAGCAGGAGGGGATAAAGTCAACAAAAACTGAAAGGGAGCTCAAGCCTCAGCTGATATTTAAGCTGACTTCACTCTGCTGACAGACTTCACATTTGAAAAAAAAAAGACCCCTCAACTGTTCCCAAGCTGTATGTGGACAGAGAAGCCATTGAGTGAGAGGCTTGCAGGCTCTCTAACAAACCACTTACATCAGAGAGGCCCCCTCCTACCCACGGTCTGCCAACAGCAATTCACACCTTGGCCATCAGGTGAGGCGAATCATTCATGCAGCTTGGGGAAGCAAAAAAACAGGGGCAAAATTCCATATCATCTTTATATTATAAGCAAAAGAAAAAAACTTCTGCTAAAAAGAACTACATTCCAGGAATTTTTCTATCTAAATCCCCAAAGCTTCCTGAGTGCACAAAGTCAAAACAAGATTTCTCAAGTCCTTTGAGTCTTGCAAAACTAGCAGTAAAATTACTCTGAAACAAAATAAAGTGGGTTTTCTTTGTCAGAACAGAGAAATATGCTACTTTTATTGAAATCAAGAAAAAAAGTCTAATGAATTAGTATCTTATTTTACATATATTTGCAGATAGGTATGCAAATTACACAGAATAAATGTACATATACACACATTTGTGCTATGCCATAAAAAAAAAAGAGAAAAAACTCTCTGCACATATTAACAGAAATTTGTGGGAATTGAATAGTCACAACATTTACTACCAGAATACATAACTAACTGGTAGTTGTTTCCTGTTTGAATGGTGTTTAAAGGCTGAGCGAAACAAATCTTAAAGCCTTTGTTCAGTTGATATCAAAGAGATATCATGGTGCAAACTCTGCCATTGTCACCAGAATTCAGTGGCCTGTCATTAGTAATGATGCAGTACAATTGAAATAGCAGGGAGATCACACTTTTCTCATTTCTAGTATACATTTAGAAGCACCTGCTATGAAAGTTCCTCCCTGCATTACAGATTTCTACTTCATCTCTTTTACATGCTGAAGTGTCCCAGCTGGTAGTTCTTCTCTGAACCCTTTCCAGATCCACCATACCTTCCCTGAGCTAGAGGAGATCAGAATAACAAACACATTGACTCTGACAACAGCCTTGTGGAAAGTTCCTTCAGTGACATCTGTCTAGTAAGCAGAATGCATTAACTAGTACTAGCCCCTGGAGAAGCTCTTTCCTCCAGGCTACCACTCTAACAGCACTTAATTCCCTTAAAAAATAAACATGAGTATTAACAGTTGGGGTATTCAAAAGCCAGCAAAATCAGCTGGGAAATCCATACCATCAGCTTCCCTAGAATGGGACTTGGCATGAACTGCATGGACTGTCACCCAGAAAGATGGTCTCCAGAGTAATGAAGGGACCATCAAATGCTATCCCAGCTTCAGGACACTGAAGACTGTCTGTTTCAGTCAAACTGCTTACTGGAAACTTCGCTGTTGTTGCCAAGGCCACATTCATGGAGAACAGTGAAAGCCTATGGCCAAGCTAGAAAGCTTAACGCCAGGTATGAAATTAGGCTGTCATCTTAGAAAGTAGCATATATTTATTATACTCGCAGGGTATTTAAAAGCCTATTCCCTGTTAATGGGAGTTGCAGGCACAGAAAGATAAAAAAAGGTTTTCCTTCTTTCCCTAAACTAAACATTTAGAGAAAGAATATTTAAAACAGCAAGGTGGACACAGTCTTCCTAGGACAAAAAATAATATTATACCCATTTATTTCTTTATTTTAAAGGCATTGTCACATTCTGCTGTTTTCTGCCATCTCTGCTTGTCTGAAGACAACCATCAGCAAAGAAACTAAGTAACACTTGCCAACTTGCTGTTGCTGGGGAGCAAAACCTTTGTAAATCAGCAAATCTAGATTACAAAAAATCCAATAACAGCAAAAAAAAAAATAGGGAATGTATGCACACACACAAAGAAGAGAATCGCTGGCAGAAATATCCATTTTACCTTAACTGCTCAGCTCTAAAATGCTAACTGTTTGTTCCTTCTTACTCTTGGCTGCTCCTAACACTCATTAAAATATATTTTTAAAGTAGTACCTCTGAAGCCATGAGGTATTGCAGGAAAACACGGCTTGGACATCTGCAGTTGCACATTATTTCTGCAACAAATTTCCCCTTAGTAATGGCCTTCTGAGAAATACACAGTCAGATTCATAAAAAGGTCTCTCATTCCTGGTCCCTTAAGTACACACATTCAAACATATATCTAGTGCCTGCACAATAAAAATAAAAGTGATGGATGAGGTAAAGGACTCATCTGACTGTCTAATAAACTATATGGTTATTAAAGAGATGGGGTGTTTGTTTACTCTACAAAGTTGAGAAGAGAGGATGTCTAGCAGCATCTAGCCAAAGGCTTGTGCTTAACAATTCTCATGCTCAGCTTGCAGGGCTAGATGCAGCCAACATGTTGCTCTGGCGACAAGGCAGCCTCCTCCAGCTGCTCTCCTGACACATAACTCTCATTGCTATCAGAGCCAAAGGACTAAGCATGATTCACTGGGGCTGTGAGGATGCTGTGGATGATTAGGGTGGGACATAAGGAAGATCTGCCATCCAACCACAGCAGGTTATTTTTTGAATATTGCTCTTTTGCACCCACAATTTTTTTTTCAATTAAAAGAAGGAAACACCCATGACACCAAAATCAAACACCCATGAGAGTTCCCTACACCCTTGAGACAGGATTTCTTCTTCCAAACTCGGCAAAAGAGAGGATCTAGCCTTCCTCTGTGCTTCTGCCCAGGCCCAATGAACCTATATAAATAGCCTAACCCCAAAGCTACAGGCCATGCCAGGCAGGGCAGATTCCCTTCTCTTTCCCTCTCTCATTTCTTTTGACCAGAAATTCTATCTGGACCAGAGAAACTTTTCCCATGGAGTTTCCACAAAAAGCTTCAGTTTTAGTAAACAAGCATTCATCACAAGGGGAGGAAAAGGTCTTTTACTGAAAAATTCTTGACCAATCAACCATTGTTAGTGCTGCAACAGGAACCTGACTTCAAAATACCATTTCAAAAAAATAGAGCACATCTTCCCCAAATTTTTTTTGTTCAACTCCCAACTTTCCCCTCAGTGAGCAATTAGTGCAGCACAGAACAAAGGGCAGC